TGCTAATAGAGCAGTTATCACTTATTTACAGGGGAGCTTTATTCCCCTTCACTGCTTCCCCTGCCGCCCACCGCCTTCCTACACACACACCTCACCTCAAGATGAGACAGGTTTCCCGGTAACCTCCCAAACCAAACACAGACCAGTCTGTGTGCACATTCCTCAGTCTGAGGGAGAGCTAGTGTGTAAACTTCTGAAAATATCTTCATTTGGCTGCACCTTGTTTTCTCTGCTTGCCATGATTTCACTTGTTTTTGCATTTCCAGATGACAGCAAGTTTTCAGAGGCCATCACAGTGCTCCTTTCCTGGATTGAGCGCGGGGAAGTGAATCGCCGCTCCGCAAACCAATTCTACTCCATGGTGCAGTCTGCCAATAGCCACGTCCGCCGGCTGATGAATGAAAAAGCTACCCACGAGCAGGAGATGGAGGAAGCCAAGGAGAATTTTAAAAATGCCTTAACCGGAATCCTCACTCAATGTAAGTAAAAATTTGGGGGCCATCTGTTTTGTGGTGATTTATTTATTTATTTATTTATTTGTTTATTTATTTATTTATTTTGCTTTTCCTTTGTATTCATTTTATTTTTCCATTTGGGGGTAAGTAGTTCAATGATTTCCCATTTTACTCCATACTGAATGGCACACCTCATAACCTATTTCATGTTCTGTGGCAACTTGGAGGAACACGGACCCCGCCCTGAGAGCTTACTTCTCAAGGTGAGCAATGTTTCTGCAGCTTTTCCTGAGAGCACCAAGCCCAGCCCTCTGGGCAGGGCAGCCAGAAGCATCTGTGCCTGCAAAGCAGCCACCCTTCATCTAGGGTCTGTCCACGCAGGCCCACAGGTCCTCCCAGTGCTGATAGTAGGAAGCAGATCCTGAGCACATTGCCTTTGGGCTCTATTTAGGAAGAAGGTATGGTCAGAAAAATTCCTGCTCAGGATCCTTTATTTGAGGTGAGCTTTGGCTGTCAACATGGACGACACAAGAATAGAGTTTTGTTTTTTTTTTTTCCCCTGCATTATTATTTTTTGGTCTTTTTCACTTGGAAAGCAAATTGCCTTAACTACTTAATGCTAGAGATTTTTCATGTCCAGATCTTAAATTGATGAAGGGTTGCAAATGGGGCTTTCTCATAGAACAATAGTCAGGGTAATTACCCACGGCTCTATTAGAAAAAAGGGCGTGTGTGTGTGTGTGTGGTGTGTGTGTATTTTTTTTAATGAGCACTTTATCTGTGTCTGTAGTTAACATCACAGCAGCAAAATGTATCACAGCTGCTGACATTCCCCTGCTTGGTAAAAGTCACTGAAAGATCCTGTGACAATGCCACACACCAGCCTGTACCAGGTGCAGGGCCACACACAGGCAGACGCACATGCAATTTACATATTCATTCTGAGAAATAAGTATTCTTTTCAGTGATCTAATGTGCCAGAATGCCTGTCACCTCTTTCATCCATGCAAAACCCAAGGGGTAATATCTCTGTGGGTATGGAGTGAGAGGGGCATGGAAAAGCAGGATCTGAAGCACACATGTGTTTTCTATGACTTGTGGTTTAAAGACCATTTTTTGTAGCAGTGTAAAATGTCACATAAGACTCTTCCAAGCATAAACTCTGATATGTGTCTGGCTACCCAGTAGGAGACTGGGATATCCATCTTCATCAAAAAGCAATAGGAAAGAGAGAGATGCCCCACCTCAAGCAGACAGTCTTCCCCAGATTCCCTAATCCTGAGGTATGGCTGCTTGTGAGCCAGTGTCTGGCCACAAGTTCTAAAGTTGGGGCTACTAGGGGTAGGATAAAGAAAACTAGTATTTTAAAGTAAGGAAGCAATGAATGGATTAGTGGGTAGCGGGTGGATAAGAATGGATTGGTAGTGGAGGGAAGGAAGAGGGAGAAAGGTGACAGACTTCTAGTAAAACAGTTCCTCCCACATTACAGCAAGAAGCCAAATGGCTGAACTGTAGGATGATTACTGATAAACCTTTTGCTCATCAGTTTTAATTAAATGCTCATGTCTATGCATTTTAAGACCCCTCCTGGCAGAGAAGGCTCAAACCTTGGCTCTAACAGTAAGTTTAGGCAGGAGGCATCTATGCATTAGAAGAGGAGAGGAATTTGCTTTTCTTTGGCGGTGTTTATTGAACAAAGCATCTATTAAGTTGAGACCCCAGTGACATGGCTGAAGGATGACATGTGCCAAACCTCATGCAGGTGCAAACTAACCTAGATTTGAAGTCACTGAGAATAAACCAAGAAGTCCACCATATGGGGTTGCAAATGTCACTGTCTTCTTATTGTGAACAGCTGTATTGGGAGGCATGGTCGAGATCTGCAGCAATAATGGGCTTCTCAGTGCCCAACCCAAGGGTAGGGCCTCTGTCTGCAGGCAGCACTGAGTACACGTGTCCCTTCCCAGCCTGCCTGGGGATGCGCACAGGAGGTGAGCAGCCAAGAGGCATGTTCTCCCTGGCAGGGTGGTCCACGGGCTCTCCAAGGAGATAGTGAAGGGCTGAGGCTGGAAGTTTGAGGGAGATCCCACTTCAGGGAGCCCACGGGTATGGGGTTCCCTCTCACCCAGCCTGCTTAGGCATGAAATTTTTGCTTTTAATCTTCTAGCCTGGTCCTCTTCTGGGTTTTCTTCATTCTCATTTGAATAAATCCTAAAACCAAAATCCTGTCATTTTTACAAATACCATCTTCCACCAGCAAGCCCCACATGCAGGTCATCCACAGGTCCCATCGTCTCAGACTTCTGAAATCACCCATTTTCCTTCATTTGAACTGTCAATTCTGAGCTGCCTGAACTACAATAATAGATAGTGTGTCTGCCCATGAGTAAACAGAAAATGCCACCAAATTATATGCTTCCACAAGGAAATTTTTTCTTTTCACAAGTGAAAGAATTCAGGTTTAGTTGAGTTTGGGTTGGCTGGTGGTTCATGACAGTCAGGCCTGAGGCTTGTGTCACAAGTTAACTCTTCCTAGGTAGTCAAAGGAGACTGTCTCGCCATCACATACTTTTATAGCTGGAATCATATAGTAAAATGGGAGGGAAGAAACAAAGAAGAAAGGGTTGCCTTTTTAGAGCAAGAAAGCAGAACCTGCTTAACAGCATCCATTTATGTCTCACTATGCAGGATTATCTTATGTGGCCATGCCAAGCTGCAAGGGAAGAGGGTGATATATTCTTTTGAGTTGGCCCACTGCCCCAGAATAAAATTGGAATGCTCATAGTAGGGGACAGGGGCGGTAGGTTATTGGGAGGATTTCATGGTTTCCACAGGCCTAGTTCCTGTCTTTCTTTGGTTCAATCTCTTTTCACACATTGTCTGATATAGTTCAGATCACTAAAACCCCTTCACTTCCCATGGCTCTTAAAATTTCTTCTCCCCTTAGCCTGCAAGCTCTCTGTGTCTGCCACTTCTACATCAGTTTTCCCTTGAGTCATTGGATGTCATTGAGTTTGGCCTCCTCCCTACTATGCCGTCGAAGCCAACTCCTACTTCTGAGCCTTTGCGTGTCGGTTCCCTCTGTCTGGTGTCTCTCCCCCACTTTTTGCACACAAGAATACTACTCATCCTTCAGAAAGGCCTTTCAACCCATGATCTCCTGATAGATTCATGTGACCTCACTGTATCTTCTGAGACCCTGCTTTGGAGCATTTCTCAAGCTGTATAATGATGTAATGATCAGTTTGCTTTGGGTTATTATAACAGGTGTCACAAAGGAGAAGACATGTCCTTTTAGACTTCAATATATGTCGTGTTAAAACATAGACATAGTGGTTGAGTGAGTGAATGAATGAGAAATTGGAGAAGCAGGAGGGAGGCTTAAAACAGTGATTTCCGGGGTGTTTCCTGGAAACTCACAGTGCAACTTGGCCTTGTTAGCACTATCAGTGGAGAATGGGAGCATTTTATAATTATATAATGATTACAACTTGTTTGTCTTATCAAGAAAATCAGAAAAGGAGCTCACGAGCTATTTTATTAGAAGTCACCACTAGTTTCTAGACACTAGGTAACAGGTTAAGGATATTAGGAGAATTGGGACGCAGGGGTACACATCTCATCCTTAGAGAGCCTGGCAGTCTTTGGTGTCAAAGGCCCTCAGGATATCTTCAAGGTGGGAGGTACCTTAACTGAGAGTCCAAGTTGGGACTAAGCCCATGAGCTGGAGTAGGAATGTGATGTATCCCCTAGCAACCCTCACTTCTGCCAAGGTATTTCTACAAAGGTGACAACTCCAAAGGGGACCAAATTCTAACATTTGTCATGGACACCCTGAGCAGTGTTCTGGCTAACCTGGTCAGTATGGGCACATTTCATATTCCTTTGAACTTTAAGTGTATTTCATTGCTTGTGGGAAGAAGTTAGAGTTGTTTGTCTCGACATATTTTCTGCTTTCCCAGCTGCCTTCAGCATGGTGGATGGTGGGCTTGCTTTAGTATGTGGGGCTGCTTCTCAAGCAATCACTGCTGAATTCCTCTGTGAGTGACACATTTGGTACATTTTCCAAAACTGAGCTGGCCATTCCTCCATTTACCTTCCTAAATATTCCTAGCAAACATCTTAAGAATCTCCTTTTGGCTGTCTCATTTAGAAATAGATAGGGTGTGGTAGATGCTGAGATTCAGGGATCTCATCTTTCTCCTATTAGCTGGAAATTGCCTGGTTTTCCAGCAGTAGCCTTGAAATTCCTACTGAGACAACACCCCTCTCCATAGCTCCCCACAGCAGCCCCTCTATTAGAAAGCATGGTGTCAGGAAGTATTGCTGAGGTGGTTTGAAGGCAGGTATATTGACGAAAGGGTTTATTACAGCAAGTGGGGCTGACCAGGTATTTTGAAAGGAGAACTTATTTAACAACTTCCAGGAAAGCCGCTAGCACAAAGTGTGGTCCTTATGTAGATATGGTTGGAAATTGCTGATCGGCTAAACAGAAGGGCGATTTCATTACGGGTTCAACTGGTAAGCTGGGTTAGATGCAGCTGTCTTCTTATCCCTTTCATATTTGTCTTTGCTTTCATATTTGAGCAAATAGCCTTTGTTCACAGGAGGGTAAAATAAACAGAACCTGTAACAATAACTCAAAGAACAAGTTGTGATTGATTTCCAGGTCTGCATCACAACCCAGTGGTTATCTTCGAGCTTTGTGCTCAGCTCTGTTACCACTTAAGCTCCATCTCTCTGGCCTTCACTCCAAGACCAACTATTAAATATAGCCATGTAGCATTGTTGCTATTCAAGCCTGGACTTAAAATGTCAACAGGCAACAATATCCAATCCCAACCCAATCCATCACTTCCATTTGGGATCACTTTTCACCTCTGAGCACCAGCCTGCAGTCAGTCATCAGGAATGTTGCATGAGGGCACAGTCCACCCTGGTGTGACACTGGGGGTGTTCTTTACCCTCAGGGGCTAGCTGGGCAGAGCTCATTTGTGGGATATAGGAGAAAGGGGGAAAATGTT